GTACTCCAGAAAAAGAACGTGTTTTTGTCATGTTTTTTTTAACGTACAAGAAAAAGAAACAATTTTTTTGTAACATAACCTAGATTCGCCAGTTCTCAGTCTTTTCGAACTGGTGATAGACTATTGACGTTTAGTAAAAAAATTAATAATAATTGCGGAATAATAAATATTGAATTTGAAATTACTCATGTAAACATATAATAAATTTGTAACAAAGCCGAATCTGTACATTAAATATTTTTTGGAAAATCTTATTGAAATAAACATTATTATCGATACGTAGGCCGAATCTATAGTTTTTAGAATTTTTGTCTGTCTGTCTGTTACCGCATCACAGAAAAACCACTGCAGGGATTTTGATGAAATTTGGTATAGTGATAGCTGGTTATCCGGGTCAACATATAGGATTTTTTACTATATTTACATATAAATACGCAAATCAGACAGACAGACTTAGTTACAATATATAAATTAATTTGCTCAAGTACTCACAAAAAGTACCTACCTGAATACGTACAATGAAAGTAATATAGTATTTAGAATTGAACCCGGAATTAAATTTTAATAAGCAGACAGCGTCACACAGCCGGAACACGTCCGAGAGGCCATGACTTCTAAATGTCATTTGCAATATCACAGAGCTTCCCAATATTTTGATACGCGGGCCGCTACTGTTTTTAGTTGGATTTTTTTTTAATTTAAAAAAAAAGATTCAAAGAGCTTGTTTTTTTTATAACATTATATTCATTTATCTATATATATAAAAGAAAGTCGTGTTAGTTACACTATTTATAACTCCAGAACGGCTGAACCGATTTGGCTGAAAATTGGCGGGGAGGTAGCTTAGAACCCAGAGACGGACATAGGATACTTTTTATCCCGTTCGACTGCGTTCCCGTGTGATATTGTTTGACTGTTTGTCTGTTTGTACGGGCTAATCTCCGAATCTATTGGACCGATTTAAATGAAATTTTGCATGGTGGTACCTTATATCCCCGGACAACGTCTTAGATATTTTTTATCCCGGAAAATATAATGGTTCCCGTGGGATAGTTAAAAAACTATTATAACTTATACAACTTATGTACCTAATTTAGTAAAATTTAACATTCTGATACCTTATATTGCCGGTCAAACAACCGGTTACTTTTCATCCGGGAAAAATGAACGGTTCCCGTGGGAACTAATAGATTTTTATTAGTGTTTTTCTAGAGGCGAACCCGAGCGAAGCGAGGGTGAGCCGCTAGTTTATTAATAAAACTATAATAAATAAATATATAACAATAACACGTATTTATGTAATTTATTAACTGTGGATATTCTGTTTGTTTTTTAGTACTAATTAAAAAAGATATTTCTGCGACTTATCGGGAATCGGTTCACTTTCTACATATTTGTTTAGTTAATTTACTGAAACTCTGTCGCTTATAATTTTTCATTGCTTATTCACTAGGATAAACATATTAAGTTACTTTATAAAAATATTATTTTATATTGCTTTGTACGTACTTATCATATTTTTACTTTTATAATCGATTTTTTAATCGTTAATGTGGGATTATTTTTTTGTTAAATATAATAAAAAAAACTTAATATTACAGCAAATTCTTTTTCACTTTTAAAATTATTATTTCACCTTTAGTGGTATATTTTTCTTAAGAATGATATGGAACCTACTTATATTTAATTATATCGTTAAAACAGAGGTGCTTTTTCTAAATGTCAACACAGAGTTATTTTTGAGGTCGAGCAAAAATAAGTATTTTTAAAGAAATGCTTAAAATGTGATTTGGCGGCCGCCATTTTAAGCATCCCTGTAAAATATAATATACATATTACTATAAACCTCTTTTGATTGGCTGTATGAGTTATGCTATTTTTGAGTTCCCCCGATACGGCGGTCATTTCCGATTGTGATGAATTGGTTACTTTGTGATAACTTTTTGGCAAATTTAATTACGCCAATTTTTATACATTACAATTTACAAAGCTTTTTGTTAATTTAATATTGTTTTCTTAGAATTATGCATTCAGTGACTAGATTTTTATACTATAGTTTTATAGCTAGATAAAAAAAGAACGTTAAACTACTATATATGATCTGTGGTTAAACTAAACTTATTATAATAGGTAAAGTTATGCCCGATTTCACCAACGTCACCCAAGTTTAAGGGATCCCCTAAGCATGGTTAGGGGGCTGTTAGGGGACAGTTTCTGTTTCACCGACAGTTAGGGGTCACCTAAATGTTAAAAGGCCCCCTAGGTGCTTGAAATATGGGCTTAAAGACGATATTAAAACTAAATTTAATTTAGGGGCTAGTTTAGGGCAACTTTTAAGCTAGGGATCCCATACGTAGGTGGTAGCTTATGGGTTGTTGGTGAAATCGGGCATTAATCTAATACGAGTTTTTAAAAAATATGACACCTTGGTGATTGGGTGATCTCTTTATCTTTTTTTGAATATTGGTATTCGTTTTATTTTATACAAAAAAAGTTAAAAAAGTACTGTTATTCTGCTTTCGTTAGTTTTGTTTGATTGACCTTTAAACTTTATTGGTCACTGACACTAGGTATATGTTTATCCCATGAGTATAGTACGGCTATACCCGACACAATAATGCGTCTAAGTGCCCAAATATAGGGAACTCTCAAAAGAATGTGTTAAACATGATAAATATCCCATTTTACATCGTAATATTAATACCAATATTAAATTAGACGACACGTTTGACTTAGTTGGTAATGACCCTACTTACTGTGCCAGCGGTCGCGGGTTCGAGTCCCGCTGGGGGTATTCATTTGTGTGATGAACACTAATGTTTGTACTCCAGTCATGGGTGTTTATATTTATAATATTTAAAGTTATATGTGTAGTGTATCAACTATCTCGTATACATAACACTGGCCCCGTAGCTTACCATGGAACTAGATGGTGCTGTGTGTTAATGCCTTAACATATTTATATTATATGAAATATACATATTTCTTATCGAATGTTACTTATATATTTCATAACTTGCATACGTTACAATACTCTATGATGCACATATTTGTCTAAAGAAACATCTATTTTTTGCTTTGTTTCTGCAAGAATAGAAGAACTACCAAATAAATACCTTTTCAATTTTATTATTATTAATATTAGTTATTAATATTTTATTTTATCAGACACAGTCTGATCGGATTTCTCACCATCAATTTTACGATAATTTTTAACATTTCCTAGTAAACCTCTTTGGAGGATACATTTTAAAAATCCTTCCTTAATCCTACCACCTACGTTATATGTTGAATCATCTTTTATTCTTTACTAGCATTGCCCGCGGCTCCGCCCGCGTTCAGATGACCGAAAACCAAATTCTTAGGTTTTACATATTAGTATACTCTTACAATGCAGTTTTTGTATTTTTTGTCAGAAATGAGATATTTTCCCGCAGTAAAAAGTATCCTTTATGTTGACCCGGAAAACCAGTTATTACCATACCAAATTTCATCAAAATCCTTCCAGTGGTTTTTCTGTTATGCGGTAACAGACAGACAGACAGACAGACAGACATAGAAAAATTCTCAAAACTATAGATTCGGTCTCTGTATCGATAATAATGTCTAATTCAATAAGATTTTCCAAAAAATATTTAATGTACATATTCGACTTAGTTACAATTTTATTATATGTATAGATTTTTTAAACTCTGACCTCATATAGTAAGCATCATTACTCGATTTAACTTCCTTCGAGGTCCGGTTTCAGCGTGAAATAGAATATATTTTACATCCGCCCTTGCCTTGCAATTGACATACAGACCTTCATTGAATTTAAGTACCAAGTCAAACGTGTACGTACATACATATATGGAGATTATATTAATATGTTCTTATCAATGAAAGCTGTTATGGATTGTCCAGAGTTATCACATTTTATATGGTCAAATGTTGCAAAAACCTGCTTTAAAGTCACTTTAAAAGTAATTATTAAGATCCTTGGAAAAATATTTGTATTTCTTTAAATGTATATAAGACAAAATATTTTTCAATAAAAAATAGATAAAACTTATTCATTAAAGAAAGAATCATGAAGATAAGTTCACAATTATTAGTGATTAATGACAGACCTACAAACGAAAAAGTACTAAGTCCCGCCTTTTGAATATCAACATTTTTTTTTAAAACGGTTCGTATATTTTAATGATAAATCGTCCATAATAAGGAAAAAAATACAAAACTCTCAATTTTTAAGTCAGTTAGTTATTTTCTCTCGTTACTTAAATAGGTTACGAACGACACTATATACCTATTATCTAGTGCTAACTATATTTTATTCTTTTGTAATTAATCCAAATTTCCTTCTGGACGCATGCTTTTGTTGACCGACTTTAAAAGTATTCTTGAACTCGGTATTTGTGTATAATATTAAGCGCGATTTTCATAATATGTATGATAAATAGGCTGGACCTTAAAATAATAATTTTGAAACCACTATCTTTTTTTGTTCAATTCAAAAAATACAACTTACATAACTACGACAGCACGAATTTAGCCCGTTTTGTCTATTTCTCACTACCATAGGTTGGCTGGAAGAGATATCTTCTAGAGATAAGTCCAGTCCACCTTTGTAAACAACAACTATTGATAAATTGGATGCAGTTATGCAAAAAACAACCATATGCGTAAAAGTACCAACAGAGTTATAAGCATTTTATTATAAAAAATAAAATAATTATAAAAAATAAACAATGCTTATAGAAATATTGTTCAATTTTAAAATAACCAGAAAAACAAAACATAACCCAAGTGCAACTATCGACAGAAAAATGCTTATAACTCTGTTGGTACTTTTACGCACATGGCTGTTTTTTGCATAACCGGGTCTAATCACTGTATTGATTTTTTAAGAGCAATAAAGAATAGTAAAAAAAATACCTTCCGTAAAGTATATATATATATATATATATATATATATATATATATATTTAATTTATATATTTTTTCTTGTTTTCCAGTGGATCACGCCAGAAGAATGTGAAGTATATTCAAGGGATAGGCGACCGCCGCTCGTCATCCCTCGCATCACACAGTACCGCGCGCCGCGTAGAGATGCACGCCCCCAAATTAACTACCCTGAGGTAAATACTTATACTTATTTAACTTCATTTTAAATTATAATAATTTAGCTTTTTCTAACATCTTTTATAGAATTTTAAACAGAATGCAAGAGTGTAAATGTTTACCTAGATAATCATACCAAAACAAATAAAGAGCTCAAAAAATACGCGGATTATATTTTAAAAAAATATTCCACTGCTGGGCACATCCCTCCCAGGCTGGAATTAGGCCAATAATGTCAGTTTTTTTTCTATTAGCAATGTAAACTAAGTCTGAAAGCTTAATTTCCATTATTCTAAATGTTATATGAACTATATATTTTCCGCTCCGCCTCCCTCGTTACTATGTAGACAAATATATTAATAAAAACTATTTAATTATTTTTATTATTAACTAAACTATAAATGAATGAAATGTTTTATATTTTATAGTATATTTAGTATATATAAAAAGTATTTATGCTCTTATAATGATTTTTTATGGATCAAGACTTTTGCTATATATTATGTTTCGTTTTATTTTATATATTACGTTTCTTTTTTTAAAATATCCAATTAAGGGTCCAATTAAGAGATAATAAATAAGTCAATAACAATCTAAAACGGTAGTTCAATGATGTAAGTGCAATAACCGCCTACAGCAAACAAATAGAATGCGCGCGCGCAATATCACACCAAATTAGTAAATCTAATTAAAACGAGACAGCTAACTTTTTATATACAAACGTAACAAGTTAAAGGGAGTCAGTATATAATTTGCAAACAGTTTGAAACCACGGATGACTCAAATGTCGCTAATATGGCAGATTACTTACTTTAATTATGCGCGCATTGTGGTTTCAAAATGGCGTGCCAACACCGACATCCTGTGTTGAATGAGTTGGAGCGAATTTTAATATTAGTCGATAGAGATACGAAGTGCTATGTTAATTTGGACAGTGGTCTTTCGTTTAACTTGGAAGTTGTACTCGTCCACTCCACTCCACCGAAAGTTTAAGCCAACTTATTAATATAATATATTGTAATACTAGCGGCTCACGCTGGCTTCGCTCGGGTTCGCCTCTAGAAAAACAATAATAAATCTATCCCTCGGGAACCGTATGTTTTTCCGGGATAAAAAGTAATATACTACGTATAGTTTTTAGACAATAACTTATGACATTAACTTTTATACTAATATTATAAATATGAAAGTTTGTGAGTATGGATGTATGGATGTTCGTTACTCTTTTACGCCAAAACGGCTGAACGGATCTGGATGAAATTTGGCACAGAGGAAGATTATAGACCGGAATAGCACATAGGTTACTTGTATCCCGGAAAAATGTACGGTTCCCATGGGATAGATTTACTTTAGTGTGGGGACGAACCCGAAGGCTGAGTCGCTAGTAGCCTCTAAGTAAAAAAACAAGTCTTCTTCATATAACCTCATTTGATTAATAATTATTTATTCCATTTATTATAGGTATATTATTTATTATTATGCCATAGACAGCAATGTTATATTTTATCCTAGCAAACCCGCAAAAATTATAATTGAACACTTCTAAGACACAACATAAATCCATACTCCTTCATATTATTTTCTATGCTTTGAAAGTTTTATTATAAAATTTTTAGCAACATATATTACTAAAACAGACAGTGTGTTCCACTATTGGTGTAAACATTGGAGATTATCTATGCAAATGTATACTATTGTAATGTAATCGTAGTGGAACGTGACTTCGAGCATTCACGTCATGCTTACTTGCTGATGCTCAAGTAAACCTATTTTGTAAGTGTTTCAAGAAAATATTATTATGAACCTAATTAATATTTTATCTGTTTTCTTTTCTTTTTAAATGTTTTTGACGGACTTTAGATATGGTGGTAATGTAGGTATTCGGGCACGCATGTTTTTTGAAGTTATACTTCTTTTGGCACGGTTGGATAAAATATGAGAGTAAATTTTTTACTATGCGCGCGCACACCGACAGCCAAAAACCGACATGATGAAGTTAGATGAAAGCGACTTGATAAAGCATTCCTTTAACAGAGAGTTGAGACATACGGGATGAAATCTTTAGCTATTTTTGTTTTGTTACGCCAAAGAAGTATAACTTCTTACGTGAGTACATCAGTACACACACACATTTTTTTTGTATGTACGTACATATGTCATACGATAACTATAATGCGGTTTTTGATTTGATGAAAATTAGCTTTTAAATTTTTAAAGCCACTATAAAATGCATAAAGAAAGTATCCTATTTAAATTTAAAAATAGGGAATATGGAATAAAAGTTAGTTTAAAATCACTGTTTATCTATACTAATATTATAAAGAGGTAAGTTTGTGACGTTGTAGGGGGTAATCTCTGGATCTACTAAACCAATTTAGATGAAATTTAGTAAGAAGATAGTTTTGACCCTGGGAAGGACATGAAAATGGGGATGAAAGTTTGTATGGGAATCAAACTAGGGATAAACCCGAGCGAAGCGAAGGTGAGTCGCTAGTTGTAAATAAGAAGGTGAAGTGCGCCATCTATTCTCATGAATAGAAACTTGGTAAATAATTAATCATTTTGCTACTAGATGGCATATTATATTACTACGCTATTTTTAACGTATAACTGTTACAATTTATTTAGTTTAATTTGGAAATGATAGATGTTTATTTCTTTTATACACTGGATAGTTTAATAGAAGATTTTTATATAAAAGTAAATAAACAAACCGCACATCTAAAGGTTGAGTAGATCACGTTTCATATCTCATGTGCATACTACCTATCCACTCAATTATATTAAGTACTAGCAACACCCTCGCTTCGCTCAGATGCGTCCCTAGGTACATATTTTTTGAGCGGAACCCTAATTCTTGTTCTAAAATAGAAATAGCTTAAGTTACTTCTTATAATATTGGCTATCTGCCAGTGAAGGTCCCGTCAAAATCAGCCCAGCTGTTTCGAAGACTAGCCGGGACATACAGACAGACAAACAAAAATTTGAAAGTTGTGTTTTCTAATAAGTACCGTATACAATTTCATATGAATTTAGTAAAAAACTTGTTATTTTGACATTACAAACAGACACTTCAATATTATTTATCTGTATACATATGTAGAGGACAATTAGTGAATACCTACTCTACGCTATTTTCCACATCGCCATTATTATCTTATACACACACTAGCGGCTGACCCTCGCTCCGCTCGGATTCGTCCCTACTTAGTATAGATTTCTCAGAGACATTTTCCCGCAGTAAAAAGTATCCTATATGTTAGCCCGGATAACCAGCTATCATCATACCGCATTCATCATCATCATCCGGGTCAACATATAGGATACTTTTTACTGCGGGAAATATCTCATCTCTGAGAAATCGATACTAAACGTGAAAACGTAAGTAGGGACGAACCCGAGCGGAGCGAGAGTGAGTCGCTAGTATTTATATAAATTATATTTTTTACCGGATAAATTACAACCATTTTTAGTAGGCGTTGTCAGAACACGCGTGGATTGTCAAACTTGCCACGATAAGATTGGTTTTAGTTCTAGACTCTATGTATTATTATATCTGATTGCATTAATGTGCGTCCATTGAATTCACTCAATAATCAGTGTACGTAATAAAGCTAAGATAAGAGGGCGAACGTTTCCTAACGAATCGACGACCGACGCTTGATAACGGATAGTGACGGCTGTATAAAATGAACATCGATTTTTTGATAGTGTATCTGCTTAATTGTATTTTTATGGTATCTGTACATATAATGGCAGAATTTATAGCTCAGTTTTTATATTAAATATACAATAGTAATGTAACAGATAATTTATCTAATATCTGGTCACGTTAAAATTACTAGAATCTTCAAATTCTGTAAGCAGATATTTATTAAGATAATATTAAAATTCTTTATTCGTAATAAAAATACATACATACTTATAGTTCACATTAGTTGTAATAATTTCTTTAATTATCAACTCGGTATGCTTGTAATTTCATACTAAATATAGCGTTTATAATCGTCATTCTATTCGATTTTCCCCATATCGATACACGGAACGGCCCATCACTAGTCCTCGTCTACCCCCCAAAGCAAACAGTGCAAAGCTATTCCTATAACATATAAATAATTAATTCAGACGCTTGAATTAACACATTGCTCCAGTTTAGCAATTACTGCGCTAAAATCACTAGCCCATAATAAAACATCGATGTCGCAACGTACAGCACTATGCAATATCATTGTATGCGTTATTCTGCTACGAGTGTCGGTGCGTCATGTTGTTACGGTGCAAATAATAAACTATATTTTACCTCTTTACCGTCAAAATTAAAGTGATTTGTGTTCTAGTTACGTGATTAAAATGGAGTTAAGGACTTGTCGTATTCGAGTGTAAAAATGTTTAAGCTTAAACGAGGGAAGACGTGGTTTCGGGAGGTAAATGTGGTGTGTTAAAGATATTCTTATTAATGATCGAAATAAAGTTACTGTTTATTATATTTTCAGGAAATTTAAGAGCTTTTGTGTGTGGTGTTTTAACTTTCATCATTTCAATAGATATATTCAGTGTGCTTATTTTCCTATCAAACACTTTTGCACATATAGGTTTAGGGACGTCTATCATTACAAAAATATCTATATGATTCATTTCAGTTATCAAAATGTAGTAGAAATCAAATATATTAATGTACCATATTAAAAATATGTATTTTATATGCAATAGAAAATTCGTCTTTATGTTCAAAGCTTCTGACACTTGGGTGTTTGATATACGGACAGTATACAACCGGAAGCTGAGATCTACACGACCAATATATTAAGTTCTTTTATCCTATGATTTTACCTTTTTATATATAAAAATGAATGTATGTTCGTCTATTTGTACCGTATATATTAAAATAACGGTTTTCCTATTTCGATGAAACTTTCATTTGCTTTGACATAGTATCAAGTTATGAAAAATATTGTAGTAGTTTTAAGATATAATTTGAGATTATATATATATATATATATATATATATATATATATATATATATAAATATATATATAAATATATATTTTATGGCATTGATCTGAACAACTCCGTCTCTTTCTATTTAGTATGATTGAGGGAAACAGGCATTGTAATTCCCTTGACTCTTGAGTATAAATATTTCAGTGGTTTGAAGCAGTCCTTTCCTTATGACTTTGAAGTTTACTGGACTAAGGGTAAAAGTAACATATTTACTTATTTTGCTAAGCTTTTTTAAAACATATTCTAAATTTTGTTTGTAAAAAAAATAAAAATATATATAGATTTTTATATGTAAAGCTTTCAACTGTAAAAGCTCAGTTAAGTCGTAAATAATTCCAAATACATTTTTTTTGGCAACTCTATATTTTTTGATAAAATTATAATTAAATTCAAAGTTATTATTTTAATTATATTATCAAGTTATGTACTAGTTATTGCTTATATGGGAATATGGCGACGACAAGGAAAACTTCGATGCGGTCACTTTAATATGTTTGTATAATGTTTAAAATTAAATACGTGTATACATATGTGTATTTTCATTTTAATAAAATACAAAAATATTAAATTCTACAGACAATATATGAACTTTTCTTACGTAGTACGGTTATAAAATTGAAAACCCTAGCGTAGTATCCGAAGGTAGCAGGTTCGATATCGCTTTGTATCGAAAACTGTGATGTCGCTAGTATAAATATATTTTTGTTAATAACATATCTATATTTGTAAAAGCCTTTTTACCTACATGAAATAAGGAGAATGATTTTTAATTTAAACGTATTGAATTCTTTAGTTAGCTAATGTACTTATTCAATGAACAGAATATATTTTCCAAAAACTGACAGTATTACATTTTCAGGTAATTTTGAGGTGATTCGTAGTAGTTATTTAAAGAAAAAAAAACCTTTTTAAATTGTATAAATCATCACAGCAAGGCAAATGTCCATATAATATTAAAAGTTTTTATTTTGTTTTTTAAAAGGATTCCATGCAAGATGTGCCGGCTAAGTCATGGAACTGGTCGCCCACGTCGGAGCGGAGTCGTCTCGACCTCGAGAGGAGCTTCAGCAAAGCAAACTGTGACAGCCCACCGCTATGGGTCAATAAGCGACTGGGTTAGTTTTGTAATACTTTATAATTTTTTTACAATGGCCGGATATCAAGAGATCCTATGTTCGAGTCCTGAGTCGGGGTAATTATATTTATTTTGGTTTTTTATCAAGAAATTCTTAGTAATAGTCTAGAGTTATGAAAGCTTCGTAGAGCATGGAAAGCCGTTAGTTCTGGGTCGTGTCGAAGTATCCGACCACAGCAAAGGAAATAGTGTACGTTGTGTTTTTGTGCAGATTTGTGCACTAAAATATCTCTCGTGCACATGTTTCTGTTGTGCTAGTTTCGATGATATAAAGGTTCGATATTTGGTCGTGATGGCCGAAATCGATCAGGATGTCATTATTATTTTTAAAGCACAGTAATTAATAATGCCGTAGCATTACGATGGATGTCAGAAAATCAAAACGAATTGGAGGAGGAGTAGCCCATCAGAGAGATATATATTGTAGTAATATTTGTTTATTACTTATGTAATTTTTATGGTTATTGAATTATCCATACTATAATATTATTAAAGTGTGTGTGTGTTTGTTTGTTTGTCTCTCCTTCTTTCGCGTTGAATTAGAGCGACGGATTGGCGATTTTTTGTGTGGAAATAGTTGGATGGCTGGAGAGTGACATAGGCTACTTTTTACCGCGGGAAATTATCTCATTGCCACGAGAAAACACGTTATAATACAACCCACAACAACTCATCATACCCATGTAGACTATCTATTTCATGCTAACCGTTAAAACGTACCTAGAAGCTAGTATTTCTGTAATTATACTCAAAAACATGTCTTAGGTTGTCTTATTTGTTATATTGTTTTAACAAGATCTACAAAAAACAATTAAACAACATGCCTGTTCTATACCTACTTCCTACTTAACATTATGAATGGTGATTTTTCATCACATTTTCTATATTTTCAGGCGGTTCAACAGAGAACCTCTTAGCCGCATCGCGTAGACCAAATCACCTCCAACTCCCAGCATCCTCATCTGGAGACAGTCTAGATGTGGAGGTCAGGGAGCGAGACCCTCACGCGAAGAAGGAGAGGAAGTCCAGGTCGATGGTTGCTCCCAAGCAGAAGCCGCGACCACCGCTGACTTCACCTAGACTGATGATGCACCCGCCTACTGAGGTAAAGTGCTAGAATGTAACTGAGTACATTTATAAAAAATGGTATTTATTATATTCCGTAAAGCAAGGCAAGTCATTGAGGGTATAAAATGTATATTACTCAGCCATCTACGTTCCAAACATTTTGAAGGACATCCGCCAACCCGCTCTTGGCCAGTATGGTGGGCCTGATCCCCCTCGTATTGAAGGAAGATCCAAGCCCAGCAGTGGGACGCTAAAAATGGCTTTATAGGGCTAATACACATATTAGTTATATTAGTAATTTCTGAAAGTTACCCAATATGTCATACTCGATATGAGGTATGAAATGCAAAGATATTCTGTAACTAACGTAATTAAACAATTAAGTATAGTGTGAAATTGACCTAATTTTTCCTTTCTATACCTTACGATAGCATTTAAAGTATTACATTCATATGTGTAATGTAAAACTTCTGAAGTTAATGAGCCATAAGAATATTTAAAGCTTGTTATTGAATATTTTCAAAGATATATTATCTAGCGCGTTTTTTTTAAGAATTTTGTTCTAAACGTTTCACACTAATCCAAATGCGAAGGTTTGTCAGTGCGTTTGTGTTTATTATTTCTTATTGCCTCGCCACCGATACATGTACATGCCAGTCACTAGACCACTCTAGTGACTGGCATGTACGGTCCCAGATTCGGAGGTCCTGGGTTCGGGTCCCGGGTCGGGCCAAATTCAGTTATTGAGTATTTCTATCAAGAAATTCTCAGTAACAGCCCGTAGTTGGGAAGTTGGTTGTTTTACACCCCCGTGCCTCGAAGAGCACGTAAAGCCGTCGGTCCTGCGCCTTAACTCTCACTGGTCGTGTCGAGCAGTCGTCCCACCTGAGTATGACAGTGACAGGAATAGAGAGTGCACGTTGTGTCTGCGCGTACACTTGTGCACTATAATATCTCCTGCGCAATTGGCTAGTCTCAATGAGATTGGCCGAAATCGTTCGGGAAAACATTTTTAGATTTATTACTTCTTAAGGTTTTAACAAACAATATCTCAAAATGGAGACAGTTTGATAGTTTACGCGGAGTTACGGGAAAAAGCAAGTTTAAAGTAAAAAAAAAATACTTCATAATTATTTTAATCTAATGTAATCATATCGTCTTTTCCAGGCAACAGTAATATACGAAGGTACTGTAAAAAGAACCAAGTTCTCCGAAGGCGGTAAGAAGAGTAAGAAGAACTGGACGGATTGCTACATGATCGTCACTCCCACAGCGCTCGTGTTCTATAAAGATCAAAGGACTTATTTAGCTACGGTATGTATGAAATTAAGTTTTTTTTATAATTTTTCTTAGATTTACGCACATATTTGTCATTTTAAATTAAATTATCTTTTCGGATTTTGTCGCGGTTTTGTTTTGATTTTTAGTTACGTTAGTATACTTCAGTAAACATGGTCGCGGGAGAGACTAGCACGAGAGTACGCCGGAAACAAAAATCATAATGAAATAGGGAAAATGTTGATTATTTTTAATATTTTTATCACTGGTAAATGCACTTTGCACATCCTATTTGACGGGAGTGTTAAATAATAAAATATATCTATTTTAACCCAACACCATGTCACATTAAAATGGCGGATGCTGCAATGATTTAAAAAAAGCTGCGTTTTTAGCAATTATCAAATATATACGTGCACTCGTTTCGACTTAAAATAATATAATTTATTTTTGTCTGTCTACTTGTTATAACATAATTTAGGAAATAAATGATTGAAAAATAAAAAAAAATATCTAGCTTGGAACGTTATACATTTTATTTATGAACACACACAACACATAACACAAATTGTTATATTATATGAAAAGTAAAATGACATTATAATAAAAAAAAATTATCTATATATAATTCTTATCGTAACTAACATCTAGATAAGATTATATTAATAGCATACATTTGATAATAAATGGTGCAAATATAAACTTTTTATTTAACTTCATTAAATAAGCTAACCCGCCAGGAATAATAAGGGTTGATACAAAATAGGACATGAGTAATGTTGCAAAAAAACTGGTTTTTTTGTACCGTGAAAAAAAACTATAAAAAACTTGAAAAAGACGCGTTTTTTTCTATAGCATGTTTTTTTAAAGAGTACAGAATTCAAAATCATTTAGGTGGTTTCCGTAAAAGATTAATACTTAAGAGTTCATATTAGAGTTTTCTGTTTATTTTTAATTTAAATTAATTTTGGTTGAATATTACCAAGTTTATATGTGAAATTCCGACACTGAATACTAGTGTAGGTGGCACTGATACTAATAGCGGGACTGATATTGACACAGAGGAAGGATAAAGTTTTATTTAATTGATTCAATATATTTTGTTCGATTTGGAATTTAGTAAAATATAAGAAATTAGAAAACATGCTTCAATAATATATTTAATTTCCTATAGATTTTTTTTCTGAAATAAAAACCTTAATTAGAAAAAAACAATGGTAGTAACAAATTTTTTTAAGTTTTTTTTCGATACAATGAAAAAAAAAATTAATTTTATTATGTTACATGACCAGGCATGAGTGAGAACAAATTGTACACGAGGGGTTCCGTAACCTTCATATGTATACATATTACATGGTTAGCAATAAAGTAGGTTTTTTTATTGAGTAATAAATAAAACCCCTAGTTTGAGTTCATTATTTGTCGTTTTATGGTGAATCCCAAAACTGATCTACTTGTAGTCATTGCGAGCGATAGAAATTTGACTAAATTGTATGGAGCTAAAATTAAATGCCCAATCCCTATTAAGGAAAACCACAGATAGATAAGTTATTGAGATTCGTGGCAAGTCTATTTTAAAAAATATTATATTATGGCAATCTGTACTATTCGAGGTGCATACATGAAAGTTAGTTGAAACTACATTCTAACAGACGGACAGACTAGTAATTGTATAAGGAAACGGGTATTATAATCAGAAATATTTAACATTTTTTGTAGGCTTTTTTAAGGTCTACAATATTCTAGTACATTGTTTTGATGTATGATTAAAGGTTTAGCCAGCGATAGCCAAACATTTTTTTCGACAAAACGTCTAGCCGCTTAAAACAATATTTACAAATTATATATGTACACAAATCATACTTGTTTATCGTTCTTTCTATTATCGATAACCGTATCAAAATCCATTGCGTAGTTTAGAAGAAGTAAGCAAAGAAACAGACACATAGAGCGACTTTGCTTTTGTATAAATATTTCTTTCAGGATTGTCACACACTTTGTTTTATATAACAATCTGATTTTTTATATCAAAATCAATCAAAACTGCATAAGTATATCCATACATAGTTATGTGTATTTTCATCGTAATACATATATATGTATATTGTATATGTATATCTCTTCCAGAAAATGCCAAAACCCCTAAACACTCCCCCGAGCCCCACCGCGCCGCGTGCTGAGCTGGTGCTGCCGCTACTCAACGCGCACATTGTACAGTGCATCCAAATGCACACCAGAAGGTAAAATTACATACTTACGCACGCTGAAATTTTATATATAAAGATTATCTATATATATAATAAAAATTTAACCAAGCCGAATCTGTAGATTAAATATTTTTTGGAAAATCTTTTTTAAATAGGTATGTATCGATACAGAGGCCGAATCTATAGTTTTTAGATTTTTTGTCTGTCTGTCTATGACCGCATCACGCTAAAACCACTGAAGGAATTTTGATGAAATTTGATATGATAATAGCTGGTTATCCGGGTCAATATATAGGATACTTTTTACTGCGGGAAAATATCTCATCTCTGAGAAATCTATACTGAACGTTAAAAGATAAGTAGAGACGAACCCGAGAAGAGCGAGGAGAGTCGATAATATGTAATAAATATGTATATTGCATATGTATGTACAGACACACTCGTTCCCTCGTGCTGATGGTGGAACACGACCAGTATCTACTGCAAGAGGAGACTGAGGACAGCGCTAAGCGACTGCTGAAATGTATTCAAACAGTCATATACAAACTTGTGAGTATTATCTATATTCAATATTCAAATAATAAAGTAATAACAATTTGAATGAAAATCAAAAATTTTTGTCAACAAACTGAATTGTTAATTTAATGTAAAAATTTGATTTAGGACATTTTTGAAACGTCAATTTTATTTGGGGAAATTTACATGGAGTGTGTGATCATAAATAATTTAATATATTTTGAACCAATGCTTTCTTTTGGGGACAGTCAAAGGGAGTTTGTCACCATGAATAAGTGGCAATTGAAAGTGAAGAAATGTGAAAATTTGATAATTCAATAGCAATTTTCAAAAGTTAATTTGAATAAAATATTATTATGTAAATGTTCTAAAATTATTTCTTATATTTTGATATGTTAAGATATTTTAGAAGTTATGACATGAAGTCTTCCAATAATATTATTTCATACTACCGTGTCCATAATGTGCAACCGATATCCATATTAAAGGACGAACCAAAATATTACTTGATCTCCTTCTAAAACGCAATTTTCATAAAGATGGTCCAAAATTGGTCCAAATTTGATGGTGGATCAATATTATGGTGTACAAACTAAAATATAATAAAAATCATCCCAATCTCAACCCAATCATAATAAAAACGGTCCAAAACGATCTGGTCCAGGGTCCACCGTCGCTGGACGACAAGCCCAGCCCCTACCAGAGCAGCAACACCGACCTCGAGAGTCTCGGCCGCACGCCGCCCGTCGCGCGGCACGCGAGGAACAAACAGAAAGGTTTGTTCTTTACTTAGATATATATAATAATATCTCACGTCACAACAGCAGAATGTATTGCGTCAATTCTAAGTAATTAAAGAAAAAATATCTCATCACTCATCAGGTACTTTGAAAAGGTAGTAGTTATTAAGAATTAAAAATATTTTGATTTAATGTCCATTAATGGCGTTTGAGTATCGATTTGTATGAAAAATTGTCCATAGATGGCGTTATAACTATCGATTTGTGGATGTTTGTATAAAATTGATATATGAAAGTAAATGATCGCAAAAAGTTATATTTTAGCGTTACAAAGTTATAATTATTATTTGACATTTTTAATAAAACTGCCTTTTCGATTTTATCGCGCATTATTGTGATTTTTGGTTCCGAACGTTTCGAATGTTTTACAGCAATCATGGTCACGGCAGAGACTTTTTAAAATTTTTATTTAATTTTTATTTTCGTATAAACATTTATAAAATAGAATAGTTCAACAATTTGGTTAACGCCATCTATCGTCTATTTACGAAAAACAAAATAGCCCGAAGGACAGCCCGAACTAAAGCTGTTTTATGTATGGGATGGGGCATCAATACTTGTGTAGTATAATGTCATCTGCTACAATATAGTAGTTCGTTAGTAAAAATTTTACAAATCAGTTCAACAGTCAACGTTAAAAGGCGAAGAAGATATAGATTCACTTACAAAGTTTTGAATATTGGGTACATTATACATATCACATTTTGCACTAACAACTCAACCTTACTTCACTTGAAGTAAATAAACAACATTTTTCATACTATGAATATTATTACATACATATGGAATAGTATTATATACATATTCATGCGAATCTTTGATTGCTTTTCCCAAAAGATACAATAAAGTATTTGCTTTTCAAATTTGCACAGCTCAATAAGATAACTAATAGGTAAAAGAAGATTGGTCATAAGAAAAACTTCATAAATCTATAAAAACTAAAATTATTCTAATATAAAATCACAGATTAATGAGTTATATAGACAGAGCTTTAAATATATATTTTTCTTTATTATAATAAAATACGTTAGCTATTTTTATTTATTAACATTTATTTGCTTATCACAACTTATCATTTTTATTATTTTAAAACATTATAAATTGTTTGGCTTCATGTTTAGTTTTATAACACTGTATATATCATTCCTTCGTCTCCTGACTATATAATTAAAACAATCTTAGAAAGTATAAATTTCAGTTCGGCATATATAGAAATATTTACGTATAATAAAAAAAATGATAAAATATATGAAACACTGACTACTATTAACGCTCAATAAAAAACCAATCAACATGTCCACAATATATAAGTATTCCCACAATAGAATTAGATATTATTTTCACTACACGAGTACTTAGTTTGTTTTTAAATCACTGTTGCACTTGAAGGAACTTAGAATATATATTTTTTTAATTCTATAACGATTAAGGGCACAATTTCATACTTAAAATTAATGGTGGCAGTAATATTATATAATAAATAATCATATTAAAATTAATTATTTTTAATAAAGGTAAATTTTATCTATACTTGATTAAAACAAAGTCGCTCACGTTGTTTGTACGCTTAGATCTTTTAAACTACGCAACGGAGTTTAATGCAGTTTTCAGCAATAGATAGAGTGATTCAAGAGAAAGGTTTATTTATATGTATAATACATGCATATTATAGTACAGAAAAGCTTAGAAATTCAAAGATTTGTATTGTGCGCTTATATTGCCTACCTAGGGACGAACCCGAGCAAAGCGAGGCTGAGTCGCTAGTTATAATAAAAAATCGGTCTTATAAAAAAAAGAATAATAGTTTTTTTTAAACCTGCTCACTATAAGCGGTAATATCTCTTAATAATAATAAAATGTGTATGTCATTCTCGCAAATTAAAACCTCTTTTGAAGTTGTTTTAAATAGTATTAGTGATTTACTTTTAGTGTACGTATACCATATACTTATACTATACGTATACTTTTATATATAAAATTAACTGTAATTCATTCATTTATTTTTTTATATTTTCTTGAGACTTTAAATGGTGCCTTTAAGCACAGTTTACGTCCCCGATGACACGTAAAATGCAAAACATGTATAGTAAAACTTTAATCTGGACATAAAATTATATATCAATATAATCGTTATTTAAAAGAAATATACGTATAATATGAAAATGACATTGATATATATATATATATATATATATATATATATGTTTCCTGTAACGCAGGGCAATCAAAATGTTCAGGATGTGGTGAACTTATCGATCAGGCGCCGCGCCAATACTAACTTTTCTTATATACATATTAATAAGTTGTGATTACTACTGTTTTATATTATTTTGAAATTCATTGATTTTATTGTAATTTTTTCTAAATTGTCATTCTACTTATTAAATATTAATATAAAATAAAAAGATATCTTTGATTATTATTATTACCAGAGCAACGGTTTACTAAATAAATATATATATATATATATATATATATATATATAATAAGAAAGTAACTGATCGCTGACTGTATATGGAAGTTATTTGAGAAAAAGAATTATTGGGGGTATTTATTAACCCAAAAGAACCCAATGATTTTTAATTTTTTTGTCTGTTTGTGTGTGTGTGTGTGCGCGTTAATCTCAGAAACGGTTTAAACGATTTGGGTATGGTTTTCACTACAGTATTGTGGTAAGCTTCACTTAATATTTAGTTTTTGTTTTATTTAAATAAAAAAGTTACTACTATTTATGGTTTCGAATGGTTTCGTTTATGGTTATCGAATTTTAAGAAACAAAAATGTTGTGTTCACAAATTGGTGGTTACATTTTGTAGGGCGCTTAAAAAATTTAACTTATTAATTAATAATAAGTTACTAACCATTTCAGTCAATTTTGCTGTTTTAACTTCGTCATGTCGCATGAGGTAATCAATTTCTATACGATCAATGAATCCACAAAGTTTTGCTGATGAATATTTACGCTAAAACACAGCTTTTTTTTATTTAAAACATTTTATTATTAGTTAAATACGAAATTATTCGCCATAATAAAATCCATAATAAAATATATGTATATATCCCTAATATCTTACGACTATTATATACATACATAAATATATAATAACTGTAAATAAATAGCTTATAATTCTTCTTTATCCTAAACACAAAATAGTGTTTGTTGAATTGAGATCTCCTAGTTTTTGTGACACATAAGTAACGGATTCCCGGTAAATGATGAATTAATTTGTTTTCCTCATTCAGTTGATGTTACTCATGGTGTTATTTTGCTTATTTCTAATATTTTATTCATTTATTGCTTGTGATACAGTTAGTGTATTGTAAATTAACATATTTTATCTATGCATTATTTTTTATTTAAATTATAGCTTTTTTTATATAAAATATGTTAGAAAATTTCTATATTTGTGGTATAGTGATAAAGTGATGTTAGCTTGTGGCTGTATGGATGGATTCCGCCGTCTGCCTTCGTGTAAGATTTTGATGATGTGATGATTTTTATCGTATGTAATAATAATGATGAGATTACATATATTTAGATTTAGTTGTTAATTTTGTTCATGTCTTGACTCATTTAAATTTTTATTTACGGTTAATATCAATGAAGTAACATATTTTAATACAATGTGAATAAATTTTAAATTATATACTTATAATATTATATACCTAATAGGCATGGATAGAAATTACATAAAATAGAGATATGGAATTCTAAACGGATATATTTTAAGTTTCTGCAGGGCTCAAACGATATAACAATTTAATTTTATACTAAATTTATTGTCAAAAAAGCATACAATTTTTAAATTCTACCAACTTATCATAAATATATTATTAAAATTAATATTGTCCTGAAATATTCACGGTTATTTATTGTTGCTTTAATTATCGATAAGTCATTTTCAACGTAAGTCATGTACCTATCTGATAATGCTAGGTTTATTGATAAGTATCTTATAAGATTAAATTTAGTATTATATTGTCTTTGAATTATGCTACTTGACCTGTTAAATGCTAGTGTTTAAATGGAATAATATTATTAAAAACTAATTGCATATTCAAATATTGATTTGGTCATTTGCGTAAGTTATGACGTTTTTGTGGTATTTAATTTAAATGAGGGTGTTTAAGTAGTTTAATCGGCATTCTGCGGCATGAAAGTGAATAACTATGTGTGATACTGTTATATAGTGTTCAATAAAAAAACTAAAAGTTATGCTTCAAAGTGAGTAATACTAAGAAAACAATGTGAATATATTAAAAATTGCGTTTCATTAATGTCATTGATGAGAACAATGCGAATGAAAATAGTGCGAACTTTTGGAAAAAGGGTTAAGCTGAAATGTGATTATGCAGAAGAATAAAAGAAGTCCAACGGAAAAACTGAGAAACTTCTTTGGCTCCCAACATTTAACATTTATAAAACGTAAAATGATATAATAATATTACTATCATAATATTCTAATTATGGATTAATAATATATAATATGGATTAATTATAATTAAAAAAAAGTAAAGAAAATGCTCGCAGATTGCTTACATTTAAAACTGACCTAGTTTAAAAATAAAATATTTTTATTTCTTCTAAATAAATGAAATTAATTGCTAAAGTGAAAGGGCAGTTAGCAAATAGAGAATCTAATGATTGAATGATGTACCTGCTAACTTACAACTGTTAGTGGTTAATAGGCTTTAGGCTTGACTTTATAGACATTATTATAGACACTAGGGGTTAATCTTTCATAGCGTTGGATATAGTTTAGAAAAACGATATAGTTTGGTGGTTTGCGTCTTGTCTATACGTTTTCATTTACATATTACGTATAGATTGCCATTGACCAAGTCCATGTTGTTATACTATACTAATCACATTTTATCATTTTGATAAGATACAACAACCATCCACCGGAAATAAAATCAAAAATTGACGTCACTGTCTGTCAAATCTAACAATAAACAAAGTTAGTACAAAAATATGCTGAAGTGCGAAAGAAAATGTTCATTTTTAGTGTTTAAAAGCTAATAAAACTCAGATTTTTCAAATACTCGATGTTCATACTCGTAGAGGATTTAAGATATACGCATGTACACAAATGTGTATTTAACAATTTTAGAAATACCATTTAAAAAAAAATTATAGATAAAATAAAATAAGTTTTATATTATAATAATAAAAGTTCCATTTAAACTAATTAATTCCTATCGTTACAAACTCCAAATTCCGTTATTTCTAGAATTCTCGTTAGACATCAGTTTACTATGTATAGTTTATAATTTTATCGTATATGTATTTGTATGCTAGTATGCCGCTATTACAATTATTTTGTAACGTGTTTAAAAATTATCTATTGAATCCACGATACGACTATCGCGGTTTATCTAAAGGCGACACGCTACAAACACGATTGTACTATTTTTGAATCTCCATCTTTTGAATACAGCGTCCATTTTTTGGTGAAATTTTAGAAAAATAACTTGAACGACAAAGGATTGAATCCTCTTCTTGTTTATAAAATCGTTGAAAAGTGAATTTTGGCATTTTTTGGAATTTCTAAAATAATGTCGGATCAAAAGTGCTAAATTTTGGAGATCACCGAAGTAAAAAGGTAAATGAAATCTTCTGGTTCCTTACACGATTTGTGTACGTCTGATTCATCTCCTAACAATTGTGTCTTTAATAAATATATCGATTTCGTTGAACTATATTCGTGGTTTTATTGAGAACTCTCTATTTATTTCAAGCCTCGGAGTACTGGGTATTCTATGTACCTTATTTAATATACTATGATTATACGTTAATTATTATAAATAAAATAATCCCGTTTGCTATAATATAAGTATTGTCTTAACCTTTTTCTATGTAAATATTTCCTCTTCTTAAGCAATAACATAAAATATGCTATTCATGGTGGCTGTATGGGTGTTTGGATTGCCTATATCAAATGGAACCTTCATCTAATCATATACTTTCTTAGCTTAAATTTTCTTTTAGCTTATCTTATTCCTGTGTAAAATATACCTATTTCTTTATAAATTCCATTTTTATAATGCCCATTTCAGCTGGTGGGAGTAGCAACGAGGATCTGAGTGATTCCGTCGAGGTTTCAATACAGAAGTCCCAAGTCAGAAGTAAGCTAAGAAAATTCTTCGCGAAGAGACCAGCTATGGAAGTACTTGTGAAGAAAGGAATATATAAAGGTTTGGTTACGTATAATTCAATGGGTGTGTGATTTACAGTTCTGCTGTGGGGTGGATCCAACCCCACAATTAATTGTTTTAGTTACGAGGGCTTATAATTTCTATATTTCATTTCATACCAAAATTGCATGTTATATTTTTTTAATGTATTTGCCATTATTGTAAATTTCGATAAATTTTGCTTTGGATCTGCCCCCTGGCTGAGTAAAATATAGATTTCATTATAAAAATACATTTTGTTGTTTGCTGTAAAAATTTGGTCGCTTCTAAATTAATATTGGCATGGGAGATAATTTTTTTTTATCATTAAGTATGTACTTGGTGATTTTTTGGATATGACTCTTGTGTTTTAGGATTTTTGATACTAATACTTGAAATTATATCCTATATCATTACAATTATATATGGATTTTCGGAATTTTGAAAATAATTTGGATGTTGATGGTAAGTATTGTACATAGATGTAAAGTCTAAGCTTGTTTTAAATTAATTTGTAAAATAGATGTAGTGGATTTAGTTGGTGTTTTATTTCACGTAGAACCTAGTAATAAAAAATCCTGTAGCGGTGGATGGTTGTTTTTTTAATAACACATTTGGTATTACTAGACGATAAAAAATCAGGTGAGTAGAGTGATGCGTACAAATAACATAGGTAATTATTATTTGAAAAATGTTAAATTGTAACAAATGGTTATGGATAAACTTAATTTATTGATAAATTGAATTTAACAGGTATAAACGATATACGTTGATATTACATTTGCAGGAGCATTTTTAACAAATTGAGCATCAAGGATGATTTCTTCTATACTTTCCTTGAAAAAAAAATATCCTCATTATCCTAAAAAATATATTCTCAATATACTACGCACAATACAAATACCATACAAATTAAAAAAAATTAAGCTAACGAAATGTGTATTTTAAGCAGACACAATTTTCATTAAACATTAATTAATAAATACATAATTATTTTTTATTAAAATTTTAAATATGATTTTATATATTTTTAATTTTTATTATTATTAGATGAACCCGTTTTCGGTCGAAATCTCGAAGAGGTGTGCCCATCGACTAGTCCTCGCGTGCCCGACTTTGTCCGCGCATGCGTTAAAGAAATAGAAAGTAGTGAAGAGAACATGTGTACTGACGGTCTTTATCGTGCCAGTGGGAATTTAAGTCAAGTACAGAAAATTCGATTAGAGGTGAGCAAAACATTATGAATTTAATATATGTATTTATATAAAAACATAATGTATTATTTATACGTAGGTATATGTAACCTTTTACCTGCTAATAAATAATATTATATATATTTATATTAAGTGTTATATATGTATAATATTTTAAATATATATAGGTAATGTATTACATTCTCGTATGTGTATCTAATATGATATATGTATATCTTGCATTATTTTGCCTCGCTGACCTTCCACGGGTTCAGTTGTCCACCTTTGTTGATTAAGTTTGTTGTTAATTATTTTTCTGTATTACTTGTAAAATTCAATAAAAAATATAATTAAATTAATTACTTTTTGGTATATTAATTACTATAAGGTATAAACTGTAAGGTAATCAATTTTTCTTTTATTTACAGATCGATCAAAATAATTTGTCAGTAATCGAGAACAACACAGATATACACGTGCTAACGGGCTCACTCAAGCTATTCTTTAGGGAGCTAAAAGAGCCTCTTATCCCTTGCTCCTTGTTTGACAGAGTGTTAGCAGCTTGCTGTAAGTAATAAAGCGTTTTTTAAATTTTATTTATAATCAAAATCTTTACACTATACTTTCCATAAATAATTTATTTTTACTGTTTGCTTAAATTTTTTACAATATATTAATATTTTAATTTAACATAGGACAGTGGAAAGCGCAAATGTAGGTTATAATAAATTTAGGCTTTTAAAATGACGATGCACAATAATCACCTAAGATGAGAATAATTTAATTTCATATTTCTTATTGTCATAGAAAAATATAGGATGTATAATTTTTTTACATAAATAACTTATTTTATTCATTATTTACAGCAATAAAACCAAGAGAAGCCAAGATCAAGGAGTTCCGAGACATCATCCATTCTCTGCCGCAATGCAACAAGGATACTCTCAAATTTTTACTGGAACACCTCTTAAAGTAAGATTTTTACTAATTTAGAATTTATTCTTAAGTTCTGATCTACTTTTCACAATAGCCTCATCCCTTTTTCGCTTAAAAAGTATTTAATTAGGATATAAAAATTTGTTTATGGCACTTTCTAGTTCATAATCTCTATCTATCTCTATGCCATAATTCCGTCAATCGGTTGCTTTATTGCTACGTCGAATAAGGACTAAGCAGTGCACTTTTTCTTTATAATTACTAGTGAGATCCTTTGTATTTATAAAATTATATTCAGGCAGCGCCATCTTTTGGCTTTTTAATGCTAACAGTAGCTCATGTAGTATGTAGGTACTACTCTAGCTCATAGTCTATATGTGTATTACATTTAATTCAAATCTGGTCAGCCGTTTCACACACACACACATACACACACCGACACTTTCACACACATAAAGTTTTACTATACCAGTGTAATTAAAGAAAATGTATTAAATATTAACAATATTATATATAATTTTTCAGAGTAACACAATACAGCGAGCGCAACCGCATGCACACAGCTAACCTAGCGATAGTGTTCGGTCCGACCCTCCTGTGGGCGCCGGCGGAGCAAGCCCACAACATTGCCATAGACTGCATACAACAGAACAACGTTGTTGATATACTCCTTAATGAATTCAAAGAAATCTTCGAAGATCCCAAAACGAAGAAAAAAGCGTGATGGTACCGTACATAGTGTTTTGTTTGGTTCTCATTGTATTCTAATTTTATAATCATACCACAGAACAATTTTATTCTAGATATAACGATAACGATAATCACATCCCGTTATTTTAGGAATATTCCGTGATTGTAATAAAAGTTCCGTTGTATTTGGAATTTTTGTTTTTTTTTGTTTTAATTATGTAATTTATTGTGGACTATTACATTATTAGATTATTTATTTCCTACTCACAGATTAAATATAAATAAGTTTTTGATTGTATGTTCTGTGGTTGATAATTGTGGTGTACGCGTTATATTTCATCTATATAAACTATGGTTACTCATATACCAAACGAATAGCCAATATGTAGCAAACTAAGCTCGGTTTGGTGAAACTTTTGTATGTAAATAGATGATTAGTGCAAGAAAAATGGGGACTTCGAAATATTTGTATGCATGATCTCTGATGACATAAAAATTTAATATTTATTGTAAACCGCCTTCAAAATAATAAATACCTATTTATTTAAATAATTAGTCGTCTAAATAGTGGTTTCGATTCTTGGACGTAGATATACTTAAAATTAAATGAAAATATGGCTTTTTAATACAAAAATACTTACAAATTCTTAAATAACGTGATCAAGTTGCGTGATACTTTCTATATGAAAGTACACTCAAATTGTTTCCGTCTAGTATTTAATACCTACTTTTTATAAGTCAAAAGTAACGTATGAATAATGCCACTAGGGTGTTTCTTAAATCGATTAATTATTTATATTTCATTCGATACTTCTACTATTATTACTTAATTCTTCAAGTAATATCAATTTTAATTCGATTAATGGAGGCGGTTATTTATTATCTATAAATATTTTAAATTTTATAAGTCGTCCAAATTGGGTTATATGTGAGAGTTGTGATTGTAAAGCAATATGTATATGGAAAGACTGTAAGAGGCTCTAGCGGTATTTAAATAACACTGTCAGTGCAAAAATGACCTAATTCAAAAATAATTTAAAAAAATAATAATGTCTAAAAATAATAATAATAAGTGTATAGAAAAATAATCATAAATCTATATAGATATATGTGATTATAATTAAATTCTTCCATCTCATAAATTATGAAATAAATGGACTTAGAGCGTTTTTGCTCTGGCAGTTAAATATAGATTATATTATATACATTATATTATATTTACGCGTTTAGACATCATTGATATACAAAAACTCAAGTTACACAATTTGAATTGAATTGCGCTTTTTTCAAATCTCTCTTACGTTTCGTTTAAAAAAGTACTTTATGCTGTGTGCGTAAGTTAGAATTTGTGTTCAGACAATTAGAACTTTTAATTTTTAACCGACTTCATTGAATGTTATTCTTTAGTTTGACTTCACGTCACATGTCGACGCCACTTTTTGAAGAGATGTTTGTTAGGAAATGTGTATGTATGTTTTTATATATCAATGTTAGATATCGTGTGATAGTGGATCCTGATTTTTGTAACACCATTTGTTTGGGGCCAATCTGTATATAACCGAGTCCTGTAGGCTTGAAGCCGATGCTCGTGTTTGTGAGGTATTACTTGGAAATGGGTCGAAGTTCGATTTTCGTTTGATGTAAGTTTTGATCAAACCAGTTTTTGTAGAGCTGAGTGTAATAGGAGGGAATTAAAATTGTTTTAATAGACAATTCTGGCTTAGGTATTGAATAATTTGTAATTTTTTTTGATTCGAACTAAATATATGTATATATTTTAATTATTCTATTTAAGACACCATTTTGATTTTTTATTCAACCTTCATGCTAATAAGTATAATCATAATATTATATCGAAATAATGACTGTCTCATATCAACTTAATTGAATTCGCTCTTAAAATTAAACAATTAATTAAACATTGTGACCATTATATACTCTGCACGAGAATCGAACCCGCACCCAATAAGACAATATTTCAAGTAATATCTCATATACCGCGATGCTTTTTTTGTGCCTTACGCAAAGGTCTTGTAAATATTCATCATAGATGATTAATCAGTTTGTGATAATAATAATTGTTGTTGTGTTCTAGAAATTTCTTTATTTTAATTTTTTTTTATTATTATTATTATATAAATATCGCTTGATAGTGGCTCTAGTCCTATTTAGTTCTTGGACTTGAATTTGTAGGTACTGTTTGGGTTTTCTGTCGATAGTTTGTTTTGATATAGCTTGTATTGATTAAGTGCAAATATACGCTACGTTACCTTACGTTTTAACGTTTAGTATAGATTTCTCAGAAATTAGATATGTTCCCGCTATAAAAAGTATCCTATATGTTGACCCGGATAACCAGCTATCATCATATCTCAAAATCTGTCGTGGTTTTCTCCTGATGCGGTCACAGACAGATAGAAAATAAGTCTAAAAACTATTGATTCGGCCTCTGTTTCGATAATAATGTCTATTTCAATAAGATTTTTAAAAAAATATTTAATCTACAGATTTTATTATATGTATAGATTATAATATTATAGAGAAAAAAATATGTAGTTTTGTTTGTTTGTAATGGACAAACTAAACATCCGCTGAACCGATTTAGATGAAATTTGGTATGAAGATAGGTTGAGACCCTGGGAAAGATACGATGTTTTGTACCTCGAAAATAATCTCTCAAGGGGATGAAAAGGGGAATGAATGTATGTATGAGGAGTCGAGGGTGAGTCGCTAGTGTTATATACATATATATGGGTGTACATATATATGGTAGTACATATATATGACATAGGTCGTGGGTTCGATATTTATTGGTTTAAGAGTCACAAAGTCACAATGATTAGACAATCTGTCTTTTCGTTTATTTTAAACTATATTTGGTTTAATAAATCGTTTTTTTTTCGAATCAACTCTGCGAAAATATTTATTTTATTATGTATATAAAGACAATCAAAACAGACTATCGATTTAACATCCATTATGTAATGTAAAAACACCAATATAAAATTCTATGTAACAATGTAAGCTAGGAACCAAAGTTTTGTATTTCGGCTGAGATGAACTGTGTGGGTGTAGTTATTGTATATTATCGATTAATATTTTAACGCCAATAATGCTTGGAAATAGAGAAATGACAAAATAAAAATTACTTATTCAATTTGTATCGTTTTATTGCTATTCTTCATATCTGCGTGTTTTTGATGATTCCGCTCCGAAGTAGATAGGACGTAAGTTGCGTATTAAAATATAGGCAGAACCTATCGGCAGGGCCGTCTTAAGCCACGCAGGGGCCTTTGGGCACACATCAGTTTTGGGGGTCTTTAGAAATTGAAAAAAATGTGAATGATGAAATAAAAATTAACTTTATTGAATTAGATTTTTACAAGCACTTTTGAATTGTCAATTTAATTTAACAATAATAATCCGTTGAGTTAGTAGCTTAAAAAAGTAACACAGACACACATACAGACATACATCCACATTCATATGCACACACACCCCATAATTTAACTAGCATTACCCGCGACTCCGCCCGCGTTCAGATGACCAAAAGCCAAATTCTTAGGTTGTACAACCTATTAATATTAGTATACTCTTACTTTGCAGTTTTTGTATTTTTTCTCAGAAATGACATATTTTCTCGCGGTAAAAGGTATCCTATCCTATATGTTGACCTGGATAACCAGCTACCATCATACCTAATTTCATCAAAATCCCTCCAGTGGTTTTTCCGTGCGGTAACAGACAGACAGATAGACAAAAATTCTAACAACTATAGATTCGGCCTTGGTATCGATAATAATGTATATTTCAATAAGATTTTCCAAAAAATATTCAATGTACAGATTCGGCTTACTTACAATTTTATTATATGTATAAATGTGATTTAACTCTACGAGCACATTTGTAGTCGTTCGTTACTCTTCTTCAATAGAAGTTACACAGTAATATAAAACGTATATTATAGAATTAAATTGGATTTTGAAAGTCCACTTTTTCCATGGTCAAGTTCGTTCCCTTAGTGATTTAAAAAATAAATATTTTGTGAATTTTACACTAAACTACAAAAACAAACGCTACATAATGCCATCTATTAACATTTATTTGAACTAGTTTTACTTTGTTCTTGATGAGGCAGTTTACATAGTCGCATCTTAGGCAGATTTGGATTATCTTGGTTTCTTCTGGTCACCATCGACGGTATTTACGATACTCTTGGGGTCTACCACCTTTTAGCCCTGAGAGGACGTCAAATTCAAAGGCCTCTCACCTAAAAGCTCTGTGATGAATAAATCGAATGTTTTATAGAACCTTTAATTATTCACAACAATAATTTGCTCAAACATTACCTACTTAATTGTATTAATGGCGACAGCCATGACACTAAGTGTCAAATGCCAGACCACTCTATGTAATGAGAAGTTTATTGGCCGTGGGAGGTGAACTTTTTATTAGTACTACCTATATACTATTAATTTAACCTAGCTTTGCTCTAAATTCTAATATGAAGATGCTTAAAACAAAGACGATATTTTAAAAAGGAAATAATCACAGTTAAAAATTATTGTTCTTCATATATGTCCATAGCTCGTTTAAAAAATACATATATATTAATATTATATAATATTATCAATAAACATTACCTATATCTACACTGTAGATATATATAGGTAATTAATCAATAATTTTTAAACATTAAAGTGCCAAAACAACTTTATACAGACAAAAATAAAAAAACAAGCATTGTAGTTTACTTATATAAAAATTTAAATTACGATATATCATCAAATATCATCAAAATTCGTTCAGTAGTTTTTGGGTGAAAAAGAAACACATCCATACATTCTCATAAATTTCGTTTATAGTTTATATTAAAACGCCCTCTAGAACCCTACTAGAGGGCGCCGCCATCAATGAAATGAACATGATAATAACATGATACCGTATTTACTCCAACTACCACCTTTAATATCCACAGTGATGATTTAATAAGGAATCGAACTCACTCTATTTTATAGATTAACTAGCCAC